AGAGATACACTTTTATCTACTGTATAAGCATATATGTAAATAAGTCCACGTGTCTCCCATTTTACTTCTTCACATTTTTCCCCACTATATCTTTGAGACATAAAATTGGACATTTTAGTAATGATTCTGTCCATGTTTATAATTGGATTCATATGTTTCTTTAATAAAATATACGTAGGAATATTAATTTCTTAATATAAAAACATTAATTTCTTAAATTTCTATTATATCTTACATTTCTATATTTTTCTTTCTTATAATAATTGTTAAACACACTTCTTTTCGTAATATAATTTTCGTATATTTGATTCAAATAGTATAATTTTTGTAAATATTTACTAAATTTATTGGCATGAAAAGATCCAATCTCTGTAATAAAGTACGCTCGATTTTTTTTTCTTTTTTTTTTTAAATTGGAGCGATTACTCGAGATGTTTCCTGTTACCATTTTATATAGATGTTCGTATATTATATTTGAAGTATAGGACATAAAGAAATTACCATTTTTATCTTCTTAACATTCTGAAGTGTTACACAAGCTATAACAAATTCTCTTTAATATTTTCTTCTTTTAAAGAAGTGAAAAGATTTTGACAGAGCTGTAAGCATCTTTTTCCGTATATATGTTTACATAAAACATATTTACCTTTTCCGATATGCTTTCAGCGAAATGCGTCTAATGTCAGTCGCAGACGCATTACTTGGGTAATATGTTGTTGAGATGAATCAGCGCGCGATTTCCAACTCTCTCTAAACCAAATAAAAAGATATTACGTACTCCAGCTTTAGTTTAGAACTGTGTTTTAAGATCTACAAATAATCAACGCGCAGTTTGCTTGAACTGGAAATTGTAAAAGTCATACAGAAAATATTATTGCATACCAAGACCGCTTTGACCGAATATGACTTTCTTTGTTCATTTAGTTTCAAATAAAACGAAATTAAATGGAAATTCTTACACTGTTAGATTCTACAAAATATAATTTTCTTTTTCTATTGAGATATAAATATCATAATTACATATAATATTTATTATACATAGTTATTTAATATATGTATATATTTGTATACATTTTTATAAATATACATAATTTATTGTAAATAAGAGAATAAAAATACAATTAGATATAAATAAAATAATAATTATTAAATATGTAATTATAACGTAATTTTACACACATTTAATATTTTTTACTTCAGTGTAATGTGTATTTATATTAGGTTAATCGGAAAGTTCCGAGCCGTTTTTTTTTGCAAAAAGTATGATTTTATTTAAGAAACAAAATCACAAAGTACATCAATCAAAATATTGTCCATCGTTAGCAATGACTTTTTCCCATCTTTCGAGCAGCAAACGAATTCCGCGGCGAAAGAATGACTCGTCCTTGGAGGACGATCCAATGGCTATCCAATCAGAGACCCATTTTTCGACATCTTCATAAGAATTGAAGTGTTTCTCAGTAAGTGCGTGTAAGTGGTAGTCGGACGGGGCACAGTCTGGTGAATAAGCCGCATGGGATAGCACTTCTCAGACGTGAGGTCGAGCGTTGTCATGAAGCAAAATCACTTTATGCTGTCTTGTCTTATACTCTGGTCGTTTTTCGCGCAATGCTCGGCTCAAACGGATTATTTGTTCTCGATAGAGATCCCCTGTGACCCTTTGACCAGATTTCAACAGCTCATGGTACCCTACACCCTTCTGGTCCCACCAGAGCATGGCCTTCTTCCCATGAATATTGCGTTTTGGCGTCGATGTCCAGCTATAGATACTCGCCACTACTTTATGATACGATATCATGATATTTAAGAGAATAGATTCTATAGATCTATTTTATAGATATGTATATAATAGATATATTTAACTTTTCCAAGTATTAGAGTGACTTTTACAACAATTCCGTTATGTGTACAGGTGTTTCCTATTTTTTCTGTGGAAATCTTTTCTTTAATCAATTCTCATTCACTTTAAATTTTGCATATTTTTGCAATCTTTTCTTTCTCTTCAAAATTTTATTTACTATATTCATGATGAAAAATGCATAAAAGAAAAAGGAATAATCACATAAATACGAGCGTGAGTTCATCTTTTGAATTACCGAAAAATAGAAGGATAATTTAGAAGATTTAACGATGCATTTTCATGCGACAGTGTTCCGCATTGTTGCGCATTGCGTTTTTTTGACATGTTTCACATTCTGGACGCGATGAAACATGGTGCAATGCTCGTTCCTCTGTTTAATCCATCCGGACGGCATGCTTTCTCTCGCGCACAGGAAAATTGAGCCACGCGCGAGGGGAAATCATTGACGCGAACGTCGAGAGAAATTACTTCCGTGCCGCCAACGCGTGAAATGACGAAGGAAACGAGTTCGCTGATCGACGCTTCGCGTCGCGGTTGCCAATAAAAATAGAATACTGCTTTTTGCTGCGCTCAAGCGCGATTAATAACGGTCACACACGCACTCGACGTATAGACCTGATTAAACCCGTTGGGAAAAATATCGTTAGCCAACGGATAATAAGCGATAACAATTTGTGCGACAGGTCGAGTCTATCAATTTTAAATGTGGTCTGCTACTGACGAGAGAATGGTCGTGCCGACAATTGCGCAGCAATTAATTAATCTTCAGACAGATATGTGAATAATGGGTCACATCGAATGTATAATTCGTGATTAGAATCTGGTAAAATATACCGATAACTGGTTTTGCTGCAGATTAACTCAGCAAATGGATGGATAGTACTTGATTTTACATACAGGTATTTTGTTATACGATAGATCGTGTTTTACCAACATTCTGTTCTAGCATTACATATATATTCGAGCGCTAGTAATATCAATTGCAAATAAGAGGAAACGAAATTATTTGAGTTTTGTCAACTTTTTAGATGTTTATACTACTATTTATTAAATACAATCTGTATGTGCAATTGATAATTCGAATCCCGCGGCCGATTAGTACGTGAGCGATCTAACGTATAAGTCCAATTATCGATCGAGTGGACGCCCCGCCCACGGTTAAGTTCCCTCTCTAGTGTATGCGCGCTCCGCGATGTACCACGTGAACCGGCTGTTTTTGTAATGTGAAAAGAAGCGTGTTGTAAGTACTAAATAGTTCAATTTTGCATTGGAATCGAGATTTATTCTCTATTCTATACAATATGTAGTCGGATTTTTATTTTATAACTTATCGATGATACTATCAGAATTTTATTGAAATCTTGGTTTTAACGTTAAAATTATTTTAATTATTTATTGTACTAAAAGAAACAATATCAAGTCCTTAAAACTATAATAATTTACGGATTTGTTTTTTTCTACAAGTAAAAAAATGTGCATAATTGAATAAACATATGACTTTTTAAAAGAGTTTTCTGATGTTATAAAATTATATTTATCTGAAATCACGTCTATGAACTTAATATTTTGTAAACATGATGAATTTCTTTATAAGAAAAATGTACGATTAATTTTTTACTATACGTATTCAATTGATATTTAAAACATTCATGTCAGTTTCCTGCAATAATATTATAATAAGGGAAATTAAATTAACGGCCTGATATCTGAGTGCACTCATAATATCCCTCGATGCGTCATTATGCCCGGCTGGAAAATATCTATTAACCCCGGCTATAGATAATGATCAATAACAATTTATACGTGCGTTGTTCCGACGTATCAGCTTAAAACTCACGCTGTCGATAAAGTGCGTTTATATATAGACGTCTATTTTCAATTAGTTCGTAAATTTGCGCGCGCTCCTGTCTCTCCTGCGTGCGATCGGCTTACTATTTTTCCGTTAGTGTCGCAGTCATTTAACGGTATATCGCTTTACGGATATGCGTTGCAACATAAATGCATCGAAAATACAAAAATATAGATTATTGACGGAAATACATAAGTATCGTCGAGAATGTTGTCAACGTTGGCTTGATTGTGCATTTTCATCGAGAATATTCATTAATTCCTGATATTGTATTGGTGATAATCAGTAATCATATGCACGTATCTCCTCTCGGGCTATTCGAATCCGTTAATGCCGTCATCTTGCATTTTAAACACCTCATATATAAACCGCCACGTAAAACGCCTCGGCGAAATCCATTAATACATTTTTTCTGCTTGATTATTGCATGGGCAAAACGGAATGTTAGTTGATTGCCATAAATATTAATTATTCTCTAGTGATATCAGATATTCAAGCAGCATATATTGCAGTACTTATTAATTAGACAAAAATTCTGATCTTATAAAAAATGTTTGGAATGGTCATAAAACGGTTTTTGCATCTAAAAGATGACTTTAAGACGTCATAATTTTAGACTTTGTGTTATCTGTGATATATAAAATATTTGAAAATACATTTGAATTTAATTGAACAAAATTGTAGCATACATTCAATATTTTTGTCCTGAATACATAAAAAAGAACTATACTTTTAGCGAAGAGTCAAAGAATTGTATTATATTTGGTGTGTTCGGGGAGGTGCTATTAGTGCCTATTTCTGTCATTCTATCTTCGTTGTTCATTAGATATAAAATAAGAATGACACAAATAGCGTTAATAACGGTTTCTCTCAACGTATCTATTAGTTTTATAACATAAATTCTTTTTCGTGCGACTACACAGAAAGGAAAGTTTGGGTTTATTTAACGTTTGGTTTTATTTTATTTAACATTGTATGAATTTTAATGGAATTCGAGTACTCACAAAGTCTAGATGGTTTCCTTACCTTTTAAATAATTCATCGGGCAGAACAACAGTAGAGAATAGTCTTGATAAAAAGTCATGTATTTTAGACGCACAATTATTTCATATAACAGACATTTTTTTTCTTCGCAAATTACGCAAAAAAGTTACCATGAATCTCAGCTCAATTTTACGTTAAATACAATTTTTCCTTTGTATTTCGAATTTCTCGAATGGTTCAAATTTCTTCATTATTTACACATAAAAAAAGCGTTAACTGCACAATTGTGAAGTTTGATTTCTTCAGGTTTGAGAGAGAGAGAGAGAGATCATTTTTAAATCGCGTATTTCAAAATTCTATTCATTCTCTGTTCAGGTCATAGTTTTTCTTAAAGCCACTCGTGGCTGTCGTTTAATGTAAAAAGCACAGAAAGTTAAAAGTCTGAGTGGTCGCACTCATAATAACAAAAAGAAAACAGAGAGAGGAAGAGGAAGAGAGGAAATGACTACAATGCTCTAGCTGGTTGAGTTCTGAAAAGTTGGCATCGTTTCCAGATTTTAGTTGTTCCACTGAACGAACGGTTCCACAGTACGAGGTGAGTTTTGTACAAGTTACCTCGTAAGCAGTTCAGACTGCACGTCTTCCGGTTTTCGTAACGATGAAACCATCGGAACGGACATCGAATCTAGCTACAAATCTCAACCAGCAATTGGCTCTCTTATAATCTTTATTTATCGATACTGTATACAGTTATAGTTGGCAGTTCAGTTGAAATTTATTTTTATGTTATATTAACATTGTAAACTAGAAATCCATTTTTTTTTTTAAATCTTATTATCGTTTGATTTAGACCCTGTTTAATATACTGAAAAATGTATTTAAAATTTACATATAAATACTATTAGACACTAAGAGAGTTTGTTTAGTCTTTGTACTGGTTCTTTATTTACTTAACTTATTTATTATTTTGTACGTATAATGATAATAATATACCAAAAATAAAATATTATATATTGCTAATAAATAGAAACTATTTTATTTATTAATTTGTTATATTTATTGAAGAGTTTAAATATGCAGTTGTGTGTGATATGTGATATTCAGATTGTATAATTAACCTTTGCAAACGAGTATCTGCGATACATGTTTATCAGATGCTACAGTCCTTTGTTAATTTGATGTGAAATTAATCTTAAACGTCATAACGTTATATTTCGTGTGGTTTCGTAAACACACATTAACGTACAATTAGATTCAAGAGAAGTTCTGAGTGAGTAGTAGCTGCAAAACGTAACCGTTGGTGTATGTCGTGCAAGTTAGAATTTAATTAGTACAACAATCAAAATCAAAATGGACGTTATTGTAATAATGATTACAACGGAGTTGTAAAACGAGATATTCCTGCACGATGGATATACCGTTTACAATTAACGACAAAGATACTTCGTGTTACGCTGTTCTCTTAAAACATTTCATAATTTTTATTGGATAATGCTGTAGCTTGATGATATAAATATGTGACGTCTATTAAGCTGGCACAGCCATGGGTTTTAACGAATCGGCTGGAGCAAAAAAAATCGGGAATAGAGCAAAAAATTAGCAAAAAAAATGTGTAATTGGTCGCGTTTGATTATGCTGAAGTGGCTGTGCCAGCTTAATAGACGTAAATATGTGCTTTCATTATTCATATTTAAACATACCTTATCTTAATGTCAATATCATATTATATTGTTAAGAACATCAATCTTCTATTTTATCTTCGTAATAAAATTTTTTTTTAAATTTGACATATAAGATTGGATTTAATTTTTGACTCTTATGCCCTTTATTCATTTTTAAATTTATACATACCTGTTTATTTAAATTATTTGCATTTATTATATAATGATTTTACAAAATGTATAAAAAGGAAAATATATAAAAGCATTTTCCATTTTTCTTTGTGAACATATAAATTAGTTTTTAACACATTTCATTATCTTATATCTTAGAGAGACTTTTGCCGCATTCTTATAATTGTACGCGATTGTTGCGAAACTAGTACGGTCATTATTCTGAAACTTCCTTGCTGGACTCCTATGTTTACATTGTATCTGTAGTATCCGTTCGGATCAACGATACTTTAATCCTCTAGTAAGCTTCGTTTCAAGACACTTTAAACCTTGGATTAGCCGGACGAATTAAGTCGAAATATCTCTACGTGCACGTTCGATTTGGGTTAATCTTTCATCGCGAAATATTTTATAGTTGTAGTTAAAATAAAAATTTATCGGTTCAAAACTTCTTTACTCTCTTTATAATATAATGAGGGATGTACCATCGCGTATTTAATGCATTGAGTAAATGGTCGATTATTTCTCGTATGCTTAAATTGAATTCGAAATTGTTTACACATTTTTGTAATTATACGTTTACTATTTATAATTTATGGTACAACGTATAATAATTATACTGATTAATTAAATACATTGTGAAATAATAATTACAAGATAGGAAAGGCAATAGAAATCATATGGTAAAACGACACGTCTAAAGTGAGAACGAACGTGCCATTCATGTCAAGTTGTTTATTTACAAGCTGTTTTCCAGCTTTTGTCCTCTTGCCTTTTCGATTCGATATACGATATACGATCCACCAGATAAATGGACCTTTTAAATAATGTGTTCCCCGCGGAAGTCGCGCTCGTAAGGTAGCGACTGAATAAACATTCGAATTCACAGTCCTACTTCCGCTTTCATGTTCATCCGTTACCAGAACAACAATTTACTTCCGTAGCCGTGAGTTATTTTACAGCTTGTCGCCATAAAAGTGTGAGCACGATGTCCGTGTAAGTGGGAGACAGGATAAGAGCGAAATTGAATGCTTTGGGAAAGAACATTCGATAAAAAGAATCGTCTTAAGTACTGCTGCTTTTTACATTAAAGTGTATAAAAAAAGAAGCGTCTCTCTCGAAAGTTTGCGATAAATTGTACAAAATAATAATACAATTTTTTGTTATTTTCATGCATATAAATCATGAAATCTTTTTCTTAAATGATATCTAGGTATTTAAATAATTTTGATAATTCAAGGTAAAAGAAATTAATAACAACTAATTGTAACTAAGTTTTTTATTGAAATTTTACATTTTATTTTTATTAACATTTTATATAAATATTATTTATTGAAATTGAAATAATTGTAATATTTATGGTATACACCTACAGATATTGTTAGCGAAAACATTTTCATGTTTTTTTTTTATAATAAAACGGTACAGATTACTAATTACACAAAATATAACACACAGGGAGCAATTTTGTTGAAAAAATCTTAAATTTTAATACAAATCTAAAAATAATTTTGTTTGAACAATCAAAATAATTATGTAGAATACTCAAACTAAGTTGTTAAAACTTTTAGCAGCATTATCATTAAGATTCTAGCTACATAATTATTTTAATGATCCAAAATTGTTTTCAAATTTATATACCTAGCAAAATTTTTAGATTTTGCCTATTCTTTACGCTTTCACCTACAAAACAATTATTGACATCATGCACATTATGTGTCCATCGAAACCAAGCAACTTTTGTTGATACATTTCCTTCTATTGTTAAAGACAAGTGAGTTATTCAGGTGACTTGTTTTAAATGCCTCTCTCTTCTCCTCACCCTGTTTATGATAAATCCATATTTAAATATATGTATATCTCTTTGTTCAAATATTAACTCGTATTTTATAATACAGGATTTGTTTTTCTTACCAATGATTCTCATGCTCTTTGTAAAATATATATTAATTCGTCATACTTTTGATAATGTTAATTTGTTGCATGCGTGTTTATCATTCGTATCTAAAATGCAATAATAATGTCATTAAGCTTGATTAATTCACGATATCCGCGATGTGTTTAATTTCTGTACGAGCTCTCATAATAATTATAAAAGATAAATCAGAATACGGTGTTGTTCGAGACTGTCGTTAACCTAGTTTCGGTAATAAGAGTATGTTTCACGTAGAATTTTTATAAACCTCTTTTTTAGTCGTCTACCAGCATGTACATGCGCAGCAATGAATAGACGTTGATTGAGTGTAGAATAACGAGTAGCTGAGAAAATAGAGTATCCGAAAATAGTATGATATTCCCGGTTCTTGAAATAAAGAAGAATGACATGATAAAAGTACAGCAAAATCTTTTATTTTATTACATATAAACATTGCTACATTTATATTGAAATTAATAATTATAAATTTATACTTTTAAACGAATAGAATAATATAAATTAAAATGCGCGAAGTGTGTAAAATATGTAATTGTGTATTTTAAAAATCTGATACATAAATACAAAAACATTTCCCGAATCTTTTGTTGTGTTTGATGTGAAAAAATGTATTTTTCTTAACGATTTACCGGTTTGACGTGAAAAAAATGTGTTTTTATATCGAGTTAAAGGTTAAAAAGAATGTAAATACTATAACAAATATAAATGCTGTAGAAAACTGTTGCAGAATTATTTTAAATTTTTTGCGCATTATTATCCGATATTTCTCAAAGTCTAAAAGTTCTTTTTGCAATAGTGACATGCACAGATGGCGACAAAGTGATCATTTCAATAGACGCAGGAATGGAAGAGAGCATCGGTATTCAGCATACGTAAAAATGAGAGAAAAATAGAAGCGATAGAGAGAGAGAGAGAGAGAGAGAGAGAGAGAGAGAGAGAGAGAGAGAGCTCACATGCAGAAAGTTACTCGATTAAATCTAATCGAATTGCGATACGCGAAATTTCACACATTCTTTACCTGTGAATTGTGTATGCGCATTCTTCACCTTTAGAGATCAAGGGGCATATCGAATTGCTTGGTCATTCCAATCACGTAGTCGAGTTACAGCGGTCCTCCGAAGATCCCGAGTAGCTGCTAGTGCAGTTCAGCGCTTTACAGTTTGCATGCTCGCAGTCGTTGATTTACGAACGTGCGCGGAGAGGGCTACGGAATGTAATAGCGGACCTAGGTTTGTTATTGCCGCTGCAACAATCGTTTGTATGCATTACTCTTTGTGCTCGGCTTTATGCATATAATCTAGACCCTGGGACGAAGACGGTCGTTATCAAGACAATGTAGAGACCATGTCGAGAAGCGCTCTGCTTCTCAACGTTGCTGTGTCACGACATTATTGCGAATCTTGTCGATGGAAAAAGTAACGAATTAGTTCAGAATTACACAATGTCATAGGTTACATATTGTAGTAATGCATAACTTATGCATTATAATAATAGATAGTTCAAGAAATATATAGTATAACATTCATTTTTGTGTGTAGGATAATTAATTAGCTGAATATTTTAGACAGTAATAATTATTTTATTTTTTGGTACTTTATATTTAGTGTTTCTATAAAGTTTATGTTAACTGTTTTCGAGAAAGAGAGAGAGAGAGAGAATAATTATAATTAATATATTATTATTTCCTGCTTTAACAATTTAATCTTAAAATTAAAAAATTAATCTTATTTTGATAAAACGACGAAAACAGTTTATGATAAGAAAGAATACAAAATGAAATATATGTGGTATGCCAATAAAATTCGATAAATGTTATGAGAAAATAAACATGATTTAATGGTATTATAAATATACCGTGATATTAAAGTATTTTTACGCACTTAGAACCGCAGTGATTATTATTTACCCTTTATACAAATAAGTTGTGTAATGAATATACATTGTCTTTTAAAGTAAAATTCCCCCTAGAGGCAATACATTTCTGACAACGTTCGTACAATTTGCGAAAGCACTGTGAAAATGGCATTTTTGAATATCATCTTAAATCTTGTTGTCACAACGTTCACAACATTCTGAATGTTTGTAAATCGAGTCTCTTTTATAGTCTAGGAAAGAAAAAGAAATCTGCTGGAGAAAGCAAGATCGAGGTAGAGAGAACGCAAATAATACAACGCTCAGAAATTGCCATATACTGTATTGCCATATATTATGTATTGTTTTAAATCAGAATTGATAAACCAACCTAACAAGATTTAAAGTGATATTCAAAAATATTACAATTTTTTATAGAATTTCCGCAAGCTGTACGAACGTTAGAAGTGTATTGCCTCTAGGGAAGATTATTTTAAAGGATAACGATAATTTGTATATTAATTAAATAATGTTTACTTTCTTACAACATTCGCTGAACTTTATTGCCACACCACCGAGCACACCACATGTACTCAAAAGATACCGCCGTTGAAATATCATGTCTTATGCAAAATCTTCAAGAGTATTTAATATTTGCGAAAGACAGCGCAATAGTACTCGTAATATAATTGCGAGCATATTCGAATAATCAACATAATTTCGATCTTCTTTGGTTCTACAAATTTACTCAATAAAATTGGAAAGCGTATCCTATGCTTTACCGCCGCGTTACTACGAGCGCCAGGAGAAACGACCAATATCGAGTCAGACAGATGTTCCTTCGTCGCCGCGTGAATTATCGACTTCGCTTCTCCGTGCGCAGTTCCTTCTGCCGGCGTAAGGAAATATTGAAGAATTTGCATATTCCGCATCTCGTACGTGACTGCTCACGACATAACTAACAAGCTTCTCATCTGTTTTATTTTTCATGTTTCTCATCGGGACGGTGCAACGATGGCCTGTACTTATCTATCTGGCTGTTTGGTGGTGGTGACGACAACGCTTGAACTATACGGTGATGGTGACATATTAACGCATTGGTGATGGTGACATGCATGTATATATACATATACTTAATTTATTTCACGCTTGCTTGAAAATTTTGCGTTTGTGCATTGAAAATGTTGCATTTATATATTGAAAATGCTGTATTAATGTCGTTTGTTGGCACACTATATTACCTGTTACTATCTTATTAATTATTTACATGTGCCAACGCTTGAATTAATAAATTAACAATAAAATGTATATTGCCACATTTTATCACGTGTTATCTCGCTATTATCATATGTGCGTGCGTGCGTGCGTGCGTGCTGCGTGTGCACATATGCCATGTATATACTATTACAATCGCTTCACTATTTCCTCGAAAACTTCTACGACCGTACCGCCCTTTATTGGATGCCACTCGCGAAATTATCGCGCGAATCTGCATTTACACGTTGGTACCGTCTGCGGTTCCGTTCGCAAACTCCATCGTCACGAACGATCTCCGCGTTAAATTCCGCAAATGTCGACTGCTTCCCGCTATGTTGAACCGCGTATCGTGTGTAAACGAAACGACGTCGCTTTCGCGGGCGAATTTGTGCCATTGATACATCCGTTCCCACTCCACCGAACCAATCCCGGCTGATCCACTCGTTAATTACTCTCAATCCCCTTAAATTGATCACTGTTGTGGTGGCGATGCCATTACGGCTCATCGATCGATCTTCAATATGCGACCGCTTACGTTTTCTGCGCACCCTTTTTTTTTCTGTTCTTCTATCATTTACGTGTGGCTTGAATCTCTTTTATCTGTTTCTCATATTGCACCTTTCTGCGGCATCTATTTATTTAATATTTCGCTTTTTATCCATCTATATTGATTATTGTCGATTATATATAATATTAATATAATTTGATTTTATTCCCTTGATTTTTATATCGTTACTGATTGATTCGTTGATCCTATTATTACGTCGTCCGTGCGTCGTGCGGTTTTTCTATTTTAATTGGATAGCCCTGTTGTCAGGCACCCTGAAGACCTATCAACGTGCGGCTTGCGACGAGGAAACGATGACGTTAAAATGCCCGCCTGGTACTACCATCCTTGTCGAACACGCTCAATATGGAAGAACGGGAATGCACGGCATCAGCAAATGCAACTCGTCCGTTCCTCTGATGATCGCGGGGGACAAACCAACGAATCACACATGCATCTGGCCGCAATCAGTGCAGGTATGTGCCAATGAAATTTTCCTATTCTGAACAAGTAAATGTCGATCGAGCGGTGCGGCAGCGTATGTGGTTTTCAAGTTTATTGCAAATTGTTGCTGCGTAAATATATTGATCGATTTAATTAACTTATAGAAGCTGTAAAGAATCAAATATGACATTTTTTTTATTAAAGTTTATTGAAAAGTTAAACTTTTGGAAATATTATTTTTCATTATTACTAAAAACAATATTAACTTTCTTCTCTCATCAAAAGTCTTTCTTTGTTTCTCAAAGATATAATTAAAATCTTCTGATTCTGATTGATTATAGTACACTATGGTATGTTAATAAGATATTATAGCTTTTCTTTTAAAATAATAATTAGAAATTTTATATATCAGTACTAATATTGGAATTTTATTATATAAAAGTTGATATTGAATTATGTCAAGATTGAAGTGCGACGAGCGCTTTTAATGTGATATTCTTTTTATCATAAGTTAAAAGGCTGATCACATAGGTATTTCTAGTGTAATGGCGTAGCGCACGAACTTCACAAATTTGCTAAACTTAGTAAGACATGATTCCATTTTCCTGTGAAAGTTTAATATTTGGACGTACTTTAAATTCCGATTATCTTCCGATTCTGCCTCTTCAGCTTCCAAAAGGAAGTTTTGGCGAGTCCAAACTCCGTTCAATCTGAGCTGCCTAAATTCGCGAGTTCTGAAGAATTCGAACGTCGATCAAATGTAGGATGTGTCATCTCCGTTTCATAACATCTACGACATCACATTTTTGTGACATCACGATTGCTCGATCTACTCTAATACATATGGAAAGAACGTTTTTCTGAAGTTATTTAAATATTTAGTTAAATACAGATCTGAAAATAATTTTGGTGAAATCAACAAAATAATTATGCAGGACTTTCAAACTGGTTGTTATAGAATGTCAAAACTTTTTGCAGCATTGTTCATCGTGCTTGGAGTTTCCTACAATCTACATTATTTTGTGGTGGACAATAAAATTATTTTCAAATCTCTTTTAGACACTTCCAAATTGTTCTTTTGTGTATCTGAGGGAGATTTTACGCCGTCATTCACGCCTGCTCCATTTCTGACAACACTTTCATTTCTCTATCTTTCCACTCCGAAACTTTATTCAATGTTTTACATTTATTAGCTCTTCGCGAACTCCTCGATTCTAATCCGGAACAGGACGTGGATGATATATTCATCCCACTTTCGTCTTCTTCTTGTTCTATCCCGTTTGAGTACCGAACTGGAAAGAATCGTAAACTGAGCCCCGCATCTTCTGGAGTTAACCTTCGTTCGCTTCAAGCATCGTAAACCTCGCTCAAATGCATGAACTCATGCTTGAATCAGAGCTGTCTTTCTTGGCTATAATTTTACATGCACCAAGTCGAGATTGTTGCATAATACTTACAATTCTTATCATCATTTTGTCAATCATTTTTCTCAATTTTTTTCATTTACACGAAGTGAAAAGGCAGTCAAGAATTTTATATAAAATTCTATGGAAAGAACGATTTTGCTAAAATATCTAAAAATTTAGCTAGATACAACTTAAAATAATTTTATTGAACCATTAAAATAATTTTGTAAAAATTTTAAGCTTAACATGAGCTTTGCTAGAAAAAGTTTTTGATATTTTAGCGATCAATTTGAGTGCCCACCATAATTATTTTAATGATACATAATAGATGGTACTAATAAAATTATTTTTAGATTTGTGTAGCTAAAATTTTATATATTCCAGCAAAACTGTTCCTTCCGTATGAATATTTAATGTAAAAAACTGTAACATTCCGCATTCTCGCCTTTGATTTTATTTTTCATTCCTTGTGATTTTTCAAAATTGTTGAGTAAGTTCGATTTAAGCGAGCTAAAGGAAGAAACTTCGTCAAAGGCGACGCAAACAGATGTACTCAGATGTAACTGTAAATATCATCAAAGGAGCTCTCGCAAAGTTTTCGCGAGAATGGTAATCGAGCAAGTCAAGAAGTCGAGAGAAAAGCATCAGCGTATACGATTTATTCTCTCAACAGGAATGCAACATCGGGAAGAAACTTCGCGAGAAAATTCCGCGGAGAATGCACCCGCACGAAAACTTGTTTTCTTTGAACTTAATTCACTGGCAATTATGGATCTCTCGCGCAAGAGCGAGAAAAGGGATATATCCCACGTTGGTTTAAAATCTTAGTTCGCGAAATAATGGTAACTGACCTGAAAACGGTACCTGTGTTTCGCCAAGCATGCAACTGACAAATTCGTTTGAGGTCGCGCGGTCTAAAGAGAAGAGGGAGAAATTGGCACGGCAATATAACGAGATTGTGACGAAATGATGACGAGTATAAAGGTTTCCTTAGAATATACGTTTTCAGTCTCCTTTTTCCGGTATTAAATTATTTATAACATTAAATTATTTATAACAGTTACGATTTAAATATGTAAAAGCAAAAATTGAATACAACTTTTACCATTGTTATAATGAAACTTTTATAATTAGTATTGCAGATATATGTACAGGCGAAAAAAGCGACTTTACTGAAATATCTAAAAATTTAGCTAGATACACGTATATCTAAAAACAATTTTGTTATGCCCATAAAAAGAACCAAGTAGAACTCTCAAGCATGATTAATGCTACCAAAAGTTTTGACATTCTAGCAATCAACTTGAGTCTTATATAATTATTTTGATAGTCTAACGATATTGTCTTTAGATCTGTATCTATAGTATTAAATTTTGTATTAAATTTTCTGGCATTTTAGTAAAATTGTTTTTTTCATGTATAATAAAACAAGTTTTAGATTTACGTTAACGTCACTAAGCAATGCGGTCTTCGGAAGGATCAAGCGTCTCTTGGGGTAATTCAGAATGGTCTTCGTTTCTATTCTCTCAGGGAAAAAAAAAGCGGTGTCATTCGCACGATATTGCAATATAATAACTTACCTTTGGTATACAATAAAAATCTTCGCTCCAGTATCCGTCCGGTTTGTGATATTCGCGAGAGTCCGCGTATCGATTTCATATTTCATATTCCACCGACCGAGGAAGGAACCATTGTACGTATGATCCCACCAGAATGCGAAAATGGAGTAACTCTTTTATTTCGACGATCTTATCCTCTTCTACAGATCTTGCTTTTCACAAGATTTACGCTTTCTCTTGCACATTGCGCGACATTTTTTAACCACTGGATATACGATTCGCTCGACGACGCTTACTTTCCTTAAGATATAAATTTTATAAAATGCTAAAATTTGCCGTCTTCCTTATGCGTACAAATGTACGTGATATATATTATTACCAGAATCGTGCTAAGAAATAGAGTCTTCGTTAATCCTTTTACAAAAGATTGAACCGTAAAACAGATAGGTATATACATATATATATAGTTTTACGACGTACACGATAATCCGCCTTACGCCAATGACTATCCGTAATGTTTTCTGCGGGATTTATAACGCTTTTGGATCTTTTCTATAGGCAGATTGTAACGTATACTACAGAGAAAACCAATGATGGTCGATAGTTCAACGGGTCAGACGCCGTGGAAGAATTTTCTTCCTGAACGATTTATTTGATCTCTTAACAAAAGGTCGTCGACTCATAAAACAAGTCCATAGTGAAGTGTGCGTAATCTATTTACTGTTCTCATATATGGGATCAACTTACGATTACAGTGAACTCTGAACAATTTATAGAGTTTTAAAATACTTTCAATTATTATTTACTGCTTTTGATTTTAGGAAGGTTGTGTAAAATTTAAATATATTTATAGATACAACATAAAATTTAATAAACAGAAATTTATACGATTGCAAATTGTGAAAACTATGTATGCATATTTAAAATAAATAATACATCTATATATTATTATATTTCCTTAATAGAATGTTCCCCTTTAAACGTCATAAAAGGAAATAAATAGTAAAGCTACAAGTTCTTCTATAATAAAAGAAGTCCAATTGAATCATATTCTCAAAATATGACTTTTCTTAGTATTGACTTTTCTACTTCATCTAAAATATGTTGGATGTCAAAATGAGAGTATTTCATAATGCACTTCTAGTTCTTATTAATGCAATCTATATTCCGATATATTCGTACTTACTTATAAAAGAATTGACGATTCGTTCGAGATCATTCGCGAGAAGGCGATCGCTCGAACTATTGCTTCCAACACACGAGAAATATCTGGTCACTCTGATGACGCTTCTGTTTTCACGACAAAAGCATTTCCGGTACGACTTCGCGTGAACGATTCAGCGCGGAGCGGCGGTACTTTTCTCGGTTGCAGGTTGCATGGGAATTTTCGACTGGAAAGCCCGTATTCCTGAATGAAGGCGTATTCCCTGTAGAACCATAAGGAGAGTTCGACTCGAAAGTGGCTCCGTGCCTTACCGAGCGATTCGAATCTCGCGAAAGGGCTTTTCCGCGCGAGTGCTTACCCTCTGCGCAACTTCTCAGCGACATACGTCGCTGCTTCCATAAAGAGGTAGGAATTTAAAGTCGCGGCTTGCCGGAATAAAAGCGACGGGTGCGCTCGTGTGCATCCGCAGAAGCGTTTTTCGCGAGGAACGTATGTAAATCGCGAACTGAAAAGAAGATTGAGACTGAAGTGGATGTACAAATATCGATAACGAGGATTCGCGGAGATATTTACGCATAAATGAGCGCAACGGATATTATAAAACGAGTAAACTTAAATGAAATTATAATTGAATAAGGGGAGATTGATCGAAATTGGATGAGGGACTGAGGGAACTGGAACCAATCGTTTTACGGGTTTGTTGCGAGGGGGTCTGTGTGTCTAAAGAATTGAGATTCGATATGCTGATCCGTCAGTTTACAGCTCGCTTTTATCGTCCGAGGATTTACGTTGGTTCCGTAGCACTTTGTATATTTAGTGCACTATGAGCCGAAACTCTTATTCTTGTCGCGCATCACGTATAAGTAATATCGCAAGATGCGCGAATAATGAGTGAGGGGATCTTCTGAAGCATATTGAGGGCTTTGTATATTGCTAATCGTGTTGCTTTACGGCAAATTGAAGTAGCTCAACTAATATCAAAGCGATGGTCCTACTTGTGTTGAGATTGGTTTGTTAGTTTACGATATCGGGTCCTGATACAAGAGAAACGTAGTGGTTTAAGGGAATTACGCGTCCTGACTTTGGCCCCTGGGGCGAAGTCGCTCGACGGAACGGTAAACGTTTACTTATAGTGACGGACGACATGGAAACGGTCAGAATGTATCGACGCACGCGGAAAATCGATTTCTCCCGCGGGAACCCTCGCCGCATATACAGGAGTGAAATGCGGGAGAATGGCCCAAGACGGAAACTCCAAAAGCCGATAATTAGATGGATATCGTATATACGCGAGAACACATACGCGATCGAGTCGCATACGGGAATCCCAACGTGAATGTGTCGGTAGCAGCTTGAAACCTGGAAACGTAATTTCCACATTTCCCACGCTGGCTCTTCTGTCTTCCTTCACCTTCCCACGAGATATTACAACTATTACAATGAACGTTTTTTTGTCACATTTCCATGAGCGAGTTCATCGATTTTTAATTATCACACGTGACACGAGGTGGGTGAATTTAATTTAATCAGAAATAAAAAATATATTAACATGCTGTAGAAATACTTTTTATTAACGTAAATTTGAAATTAAAAACGCGAAAAGGAAATATAATTAGTTTGATTTTTTTGGCTAAGATTTCTTAAAATTAAAATCTCCTCAAAATCAATATGTGGTTTATATTCTTATTTTCACCTTTTATATGACATGAACTGTTATTGACATGCGTCGCTCCGACTAAAATTACTACTCAGTTCATTAAGATGTTTCTCATATAACGCGATTAAATTGCATTTAACGTAATCAAGGCAATGTAACTCGAGCCTTTGCATGCAATTAGCCGATTGAAAATGGAATCCTTGGAATTCTCAGCGATGTGCGGATATCACCAGGCGTTATCGGATAACCAATGACTCCTCAGGAACGCGAAACTCGAAAGGATGATTTCCCGTGATGATGTTACTCGCTTTCGACAGCTAATGCTTTTGTACTACTCACAAGTGGAAATTTTCTTAATTAAAAAACCGTATACCTTTTTTCGTTTTACGCGCTCGTTCACCATTTTATCTCTTCCGTTCTTATCTTCCGTAGAATCCAATTGTTGCAGTTCCGGGTAACGTCAAAAACGCATTTCCGTGAAAGTTGAAATATGGTTTTTACTTCACTTTTTGTCAAAAGGTTGCAACCGTTTGTTATATGACTTTCGTATATAATCCTTATTTTGATATTTTTTATCTATTTATAAATATTTGCGATTTATCCTTTATAATATGATTTACGGAGTTAAAATTTAATCTTAAAGATTTAAACGTTAATAAATGACATGAGATCGATAAATGAATGATAGATCTCAGTAGGAAAATACCTTATTCGGTTTGAGCTGGATTAGTATTTAATCATATTTTGATATGAATTTATATCATCAATTCGATAAATAATTGCATGCCGATTTAATTTTTGGTTTTGAAATGCATTCTTAAACTGAAATTAGGATAGTAATGTCTCTAATTAAATCGACAGGCAATTTAGGATAATGATGCTAATCAGCATTATTATCTTTAAATTACTGTAAAGAATTTATCGCGAAAAATATCATCTCAGCCAGAATTTAAACCTGGATCTCTCATTCCGTGACGGGTTTCTTTATTATTCGATCACTGTGGCATGTGGTGATATTTAAAAATTTAAGCTTTTTTATTTATATCTCTATGAACAGCTCATCGCTCATCTTGTCGATTTATTCTCGCAAATATTGGCACATAGCATATGATTTTGTTACGTAGGTCGACCTCAACGATATTAGTTTTACTTTGTCCGACAGCTTTTCATGAAAAAAGCAAAAATAATCTCATTTCAAACTCAAACTCGTCGGTGAAAAGGTTTGGCTGCAAAATTAAGTCTTTATTTCATGTAAAAGCTAACTGGTTTAATTTGAAGTTGTCACAGTTTGTCTACCGTCTTTGATATGCTTTTTTTATCTAAATGAATACCTTTTATATCAATTGCAATAATCGCGCTAAAGGGTTTCACTGTAATTTTAGTCTTCAAAGCAGCATCGAACTAGATTATTCTATTGCATTTGCAGTTTGTTCATATTATCATATTAATCTCTGTTGGATTTCTTTTTTGCTCTAATTATTTGTGTATAATTGCTCAATAATTGTGAGATATATTTGTATTACTTATTTTTAAAAATGCTAAAAAATGTTAACAGCTTTTGCTTTTTTCAAATATTTTAATTATTTTAACAAATAATTTAACACATAAAATGGTATTATATATTTATGTGTCTCTTCCGCGCTAAAATACTTTTCTTTTTTTATTATAAATTATTTATTTTATAGTTAAATTAAATATTCATAGGATATTACTTTTGTAATGTATTATGTTAAAAAGTATAATATACTTGCAATATTTTTTAACAGCGCGATTTGATGCTCGAAAAAAATCGGAAAAGATATAATGTGATATCTTTTGTAATTCTTATCGTTTCTAACCGCAAAGTGAACGGATCTTCTCATTGACGCGTTAGCACTCACTGTTGCAGATGGTGGTTGGAGTCTGTCAAAAAAAGCGGCAGTGCAAGTTCAACACTGACCCGAAGACTTTCCAAGGTGATCCTTGTCCCGGATTACGGAAGTACATCGAGGTCGCCTACAAATGCCGTCCCTGTAAGTACCCTCATCCATATACATGCAGATACACCCACACTTACATGCACACGGATGCATGCGCGAACGTGCGCGAGCAGATGCGAGATCGAGCTGCGCCTTCGAGAGAGAGAAAAGGAATCGTTTTTCTCCGAGACATCCGATTCCTTTTTATGCGAACATCGAGCATTAGGTTAGTTCGCCGCTCGCATAAGAACCGGTGATATCGATGAAATTCCTTGCGCGACACGCACAACGGATCGGCGGGAGACTCGCAAGGAAATTCCCAGGTGCGACGTGATCTGGCAAATTCCGACCGATTCCGGTGGCTGCGGGAATATTTACTGCGGGTAAAAACGTAATTTTGCGATTATTCTGAGACTGAATACGAATTCAAACCGAAAAACCGCAGTTTGGCTATAAATAATATAACTTGCTATTAAGATTTAATTTGTTAACGAATGCCTTAATTTTATTGAGGGCGAGTGGGAAGACTTAAATAAAATCAACGATTATTTATCATTAGAAGTCTTTTTATTTAAACAATATTTTTATATAATAATCATTTGGCTTTAAACTACAATTAATATTTATATATTATCAGTATAAATTATAACTAAACAAAAAATAAGATCCCCTTGCTATGCAAATTTATTTGCTGCAATGCCGAATCGCTTTTTGGCTAAAAATAAAAATTATTTTCATTAAACTTGTGCATTGGTATTTATTCTTTAAATAGTATGTGCGGCCTATGGTTACATGTTATAGCATACATCAATGGATGCGAGAAATGCAAGGTTATCACTCTGATATACTGCAACAATATTATTCTCATTCTCGCCTACTCTTACAATTAGTGTTCTACATAGATAAATAGATAATTAATAATAAGGTAATATATAATGTTTACAAAAATGGAAATATTTAATCCTAAATAAAATAGTAATAATTTATTTGTCTATTTTTGAAGAGCAAATTTTTATACTTTTGTTTTAGACATCGACGTTTATAAATTTTTCTTTTGTAATGCACATAGAATTTCACTGTATTTACTATGAGAAGCTCAGCGTAAGTAACAAAATGCGTTTGAACAATGATATCAGAGGTTTATACTTACGCATCTATACGTAAAGCAATGAGGACAACCTGTTGCAGTAACAAGCTTCAAGTAATTTTTGCTACGGGGTATAGCAAATACTCCATCGCGGCGCGTTTTACATTCTGTAGGTTCGCACTAGTTCCTGCAGCTCGTGCTCAAGCCACAGTCATCTCATTGTTTACTGTGCACACGGTAAATCCAAGTGCTTTTTCGGGGCATTGCTGGCAGCGTTAAATCACTCTCCAGAACAAAGGTGTGTCAGTTTCGTGCGTTGAAAAAGGTTACCGGCAGAACATAAGCGCAAGAAATCTAGTTTCGTGACCAGTTTGTTTTAGTTCGATACGATATGGGAATGTCGAATAATAAAGTCGTGGAATGCTTTTATTTCTTTTATTTCTCTCACAGTTTCTAGAAAAGATTTATTTCCTTACCTATTAATGCTATGAAAATTATACCTAAGTTCTCTAAATTGTTCTGTTTGTAATGCAAGTGAACCTCCGCCTTTTATGATGATGAGAGAAAGAGAGAGATACAGAAAAATTAAAAAAATTTTTTACCTACAGTTTTTAGAATTTTATACATTTATAGTATCGATCATACCAACCGCCTAAAATTTTTGCTTTGGGTTTAATTTCGTGTTATTGTAGTCGAATATTAAACATATTGTAGGGGGTTTATTGAAATTTATTTTTTGATCTCTCTGAATGGGAAGCAATATACACAATTTTTACATACTAGTTCGATTATTTACAATCTGTTATAGATTTATACTTTAAATTGTGAATTTATCATGTTGCACATGTTACACTTTTAAAAATATTACGCATACTTTTTTATACCATTTGCACCAAAACATATCTGATAATATTGAAGTATTAAATGCATTATTTTCTATATTTTATTTCTGTGTAACCATATATGAATATTTTTAACAAGACATGATATAAAAGTTATTTTTAAAAATGTGATATTTTGCACACCTTTTGAAACGAATATTTTTTTATCTACAAGTATTGCTAAAAATCATAAAATAAAATATGCTATATTTTAAAACGTCAAATTTTTAAAGTAATTTGTGTGCAGCATTTTTTATAACTATCAATAAACATTTTAATTTATAAATAATTAAGAAATGAAACATAGATTAATATATGTTTAAATGTGTGTGTGCAGTAAGAGTAGCATTTAATCAATAAAATAAAAAATACTACATTTAATTCAATTCTTATTTGATTGTAGAGTAACTTACAAAAAAATTTTTGCTTAACAAGCTTCGCAATCAGGCTACGAGATCGTTTTCAAAAGAACAGTGAATGCAGAAACGTAGAACATTTGAACAGATACGAAGAAAAGTTCGGGAAACGAGAGTACATATTATGGCGAGCGAGGCTGAGAAGTTTTCTCGGCGTATTTGCGCCGTGTAATATAGAAGACAATGGCTTTGAATACCATTTCGAAAGTTCTTGCCTTAAGATCTTCTAGAATAATCCTTAATGTCTATAAAAAGATTGTAATCCAACGCAAGAAGCACTTTAAAATTAATTTCTTTATTAGAAACGATCTACACAAAAGGAAAAAGTCAAAATAAAGGGTAAACTATTTATTTTAGACTAATTGAGATAATATACACTTTAGTTAATTTACAATTCTTTGAAGAACACTTCAAATATTTAATATTATGTAAAGTTATATTAATAGTAAAAATTATTATACATTAATTATTAATCCATATAACTCGTGTATGTTCATTTATTACGTGGTACATACATAAAATCGTATTTTGAGTTGTGCCGCAATAGTAAAATTATTTTTAAAAGTGGACAAATAATATAGATCGATAATATATATGGCAAATAATTTGTAGATACACAATGTAACTATGTATTAAACGGATGAATTTTTGAAAAAGGCAAAAACAGAGATTCCAAATAAACTTATTATTGAAATAAGCGTTTTATTATTTAGTAGATGTATTTAATGATCGTGTTCTGAAAAATTCTCATATTAAGTCATTACTTTTCCAGAGTAATAATGTAAGGTATACTAATAAATAGTATAAAGTATAGATAATAATGTAAAGTATATAATCATATAAACATTGATTAATTTTACTTTATGGAAAACATGAAAGAGGACAAATTTATAATGTTGCTTTAATTTATAAAACTTTGAAGACAGATTGTGTAATGCAAATTATTTCGTGCATCGTTTTTCGCACTGATAGTTCTGTTGAGAGCACGGCTTAAGCATAACGCGTAATTTTCTGGACGTGAAATGATGAGTGTAGAAAACTATAAGCGAGAATCCCATATGTGTCCCGTAAAACGTTCATTTCATAAAACTTTTACTTTAATTTCCTTCTTTTTTTTTAGAATATAATGTCGCATATAACGACGAAATAAAAACTACAAGCAGTCATTTAGAAAGCATGCGGTTGCACTTTGCAGTTCACTAACAGACACGTAGGAAATATGACGATAATGGCAACGCTTTAGACAAAAGTTTATTCTCTTGCCGCAGTTTTTATTATCTGGAATAACATATGCGTGTTCACTGCAAACGCAGTGCACGCAACTTTGTTACCACAACGTTATAATACTTTTATTATTTTGTGTAAATTCGTTGTGTAACACATTGAATGCAAATTGCACAATTTCATATTTCTATAATTTTATTTTAATTATAATGACATTTTCAGGTAAACTGTTTTCTCATTATTCTCTAACAATACGATACATCTACAAATTAATTAATGTTATGTCAAATTAAATTCTTGAAATTCTGCTTACATCACATATAGACGTAGATACGTATACGTTCAATGATTTTACCCCACATTTTTATCGTACTAGATAGAAAAAAAAGGAAAAATCCGTTATTCCCAAATAAAGTTCTATTCGCGAATCCATTAAAATGTATATTTGCGTTTCGTGTATTTACATCCGTCACTTCATCCAAAAATGAAACGCGAGTACTGGGATGACGCTTGTACGTGGCTAACGCGGTTGTCCTCTGTAATATATCAACGGGGCGATTACATATTACAGGTGTCGCGTTACATGCCAAAGCCAGCCGACACCTCACGCGTCGCCCGCAAATCTATCCGGCGACAACACGTGCCACTTATTGCACTGATGTACACACGCACAACTGTAAGCCGCTTATACAAACGTGCTTAATCTGTCTAATCAATTTTTGCTTTGTTTATCCAACCGATGATCGATGTAATGAGGAATAAACGAGGTTACTTCATGTTTTGCACCGCGATGAGATTTGCATCGTGTATAATGTGCACTCAGATCGCAATCGGATAATGTTCTTGCACCTGAACGCGATTAATGAATACAAGCATATTTTTAAGATTCTGATTTTTGGTTTATTGATGCAATTTTATTTTGAAGGTCATATATTGCTTGAAATATATTATTGCATTAATTACAGAATAATGGAATTGTTTATCGCATAAGTTTGACTTAATAACATTCATCGACATAATTGCAGTTACGTTAAATTGATTCGATAAAGTATTTTTATAGTATATTTTGCATTGATTTCAATCTATTTACTAGTAAATATAAGGATAGAATTTTTGAGTAACATGCATTAAAAAATTACTCTATTTCTTTTGCTTAGAGATACATAATAAATGATCTATAGGAAATCATTGAATTTAACATAACTTTCTATTTATAAAAGGCTTCGAAAACAAAAAAATCATTTTAATTAAGAAAATGATACCATACAACGAGCTGTTCTGTTAGCAAAACATATAAGTTTTTATTAGAAAGAGTTATGTCAGTTACAAAAAAAAAAACCGTAGGATAAGTTCTAATCTCATTTCCAGAATCAGCATAAAAGATACATAAGAACTAATATTATTTATTTAACAAAATCATTGTCAACCAGTGTAGTTCGTATAAATGTGCCACTCCATTTGTTTTTATTACTTTTCGTGTGTTCTTTTAAAATCTACTTTTTAATTCCAATCCTTTTACAGAGGTCATTATTACACATAACGTGAGATTCACCCATCTCAGACTCTAATAGACCATCTTTATCAGCTCCTTGGGTTTGTCGGTCACCCTCGACACGTATTCTTTCTCCGCGTTATTCGCGTTCACACCGCACCGAAGTAGAGTGTTCGAAAAAGGGCCGGACGTACCTTGAAAAGAATTCCATTCGGCGTACACGGACCGCGCCGGGTACCGACGTGCCCTGTCGGAAAGAGAAGGGCACGTATTCGTTCGCGTTTACCTCCTTTCTCACCCTCGCCCCATGCGCACGTACATACGTGGAAACTAGAGATTCCATCGATGTCAGGAAAAGTAGGTCGATCGAAGCCCTGGCCTTTTGCTGAAAAAGCGAGGAGCCGGCTCCATTGTCGCTTCGAGTAGTCCGTCGTCGAGGGAATTACCTCTCTCCCCTTTCCACCCTCTTTCCACCACTCTTCTTCGCCATGGCGCGGCTTCCTCTTTTTTGCCAATTAAAACCCCAGACTGGACATTTCTCTCTCTTTCTCTCCCCTTCCCCCCACCTCTCTCTCTCTCTCTCTCTCTCTCTCTTTCTTGCATGAGCTCTACAGAGTATCCCACCACGGCAATAAGGAAGTTCCGCGATCTCTCTCGCGTATACCATGAATTCGCTCTTCCGGGTGAAATTTCACGGGCCATTGACGCCCCGTTCTTTGATATGTCCATTGGATAGCGCTGGCCACTTTTACGTGGATACGAACCTCGAGAGAGTTCCTGCAGGTATGGCGTGGCGATTTTCGTTTGCATGTAACGTGGTCGTAACAGCGCGATACGGATGGTATCTTCCGTAAGAAAATCTTAGGAAAGCGTGAACCGACATAATCTTATGCGCCATAGATAACATGGAAGATTGTATGTATTAAAAAGAGTAGACCATCTCCGCGTTTTAAAGTCGACCTTTTTTTTATGGTATTATAGTATCACGATGACATTACCTTTTATTTTACAGCCAGATTAATTCAAGTTAGTTTAACTTTTGGATGCTATAGCTGTAGCCTAAAGAATTAGGTACGTACTTTACGCCAATTTCGGGGGATTTGAAGTGTCGTGACTGAAATATACATATGAGAACAATACAAACTTTTATCATTACTATTATAGAACAGAAAACTTTTTGTTTTAATAAAACAATAATAACATATCTGTTCATTAAAAAGTTTAGATTAAATATACTTACTGGTCGTATATAGGACATTGTAAATGGAAAATATATAAATTTAGATTAGAAAAATACGATTTATCAAGATTGGAATTTTAAAAGTACTACAGTACAATGTTGAAAATATAAACGATATTGAATGAAAAATATTTAAATATGATATTAAAAGTAGACCAATTGAATTTTATATTGATAAAATTTTATGAAGAAGAAGAATACGCGTTAAAGGACATAAAGGAGAGAGTAATATCTGTTTCATTTTATATTAAAATTGAATTTACAGAGTTTTAAAGTTACAATTTACTATTTTAATTTTTCTGTTCTTTATATAATATAGAGATTGGTAGTTCTGGCCATAGGAAAACTGTATCAGTACTGTCCTTGTTAGTTAAAGGTCGTTGCAGATTGTATACGCGCGTAGAGAGAAAACGAAAAATATGTATGAATCCAGAAAAACGCGATATTTTTGTCAGAGGAGCGAAAATATGGGGTAGAAAAAAATGAAACTAGATGTAGGTCAGCCAATGTTTATGGTAGTACGAAGTAAAGACAAAACTGGCTGATACAGCGGATTCGTAGGATTAGCTGATATCATTTATGTTGGTTTTGGCACGCTGATGAAGCTATAGCGCCAAACAATGTGTGCACGGCCTCGTGCTGCACGTAATTTCACCTTAAATCGCGGTGATAGCCATTGGCCTCGGTTCGCTGGTGGAACAAGTTCGAAAGCCAGCGATGGCAACCACCGTAAATTGCCAACTCAATAAAGCAGGGCATAACACTTTATCTCAGGCATAAGTGCACCCGCCGACTTCCGTGCGTGGCTAAGAAACATGGTCGCGGTATGAAAAGATGTTGCCCGACGCGTGGGATCGTTGGGTTATGGTCAAACTTGTTCTTCCGCAACAAAACCGCGATACATCAACAAGTTACCACGGTGTTTCGCTGTACTCGAACACGGGTGGATGCACCGGACAACATCCGGAATTTTTATTGCCTATTCTGCTGCGGCAGGACCGCGTTTAATAACACATTTAATTGTAAGTTTACGATGGCAAAAGAAATAAGAAAATAAATAATTTTTTCATAGAAAGCAATCGTTTTAAAGAAGACAGCCAGCATTATGATTTTTTTATTTACAAATGGTACAAAATCTGTGGAAATAGATCCGTAAAAAATATGAATGTTTTGTCGATAATACTCGTAATTACACTTAATCCTCATTTTGTGAACGATTTTCATAGGATTATAAAGGGATGCTGGAGTGATCAAAAATTATCGACATTACATTGCTATAAAATTTTCGCAGAATTGACTCAATGGAATCAAAAATTCTTTTACAGGAGAGAGAGAGATTAGAGTGAAAGCAATATTAGGAGATGATGCAGTGGACTTTATACTAAAATCTAATTTTGCGTCTACTTTAATACGACTGTAATGTCGATAATTTAGTCATTCCAGCATCTCTGACAAATAACTTATTCATAATTTTTTATTAGTATTGATTGATTCACATATCACTCTCTTATTTCAAAAGTGACACAATTCAAAAAATTAAGTTTCGCAGAAAAGGGAAACAACTCTTTTTGAATTTGACAGACAATTATCGACTGATCAAATAATATTGACATTTTTGTCATTTTCGTTTCACAATTCTTAAAAAATTGACGCTTTGACAATTTTTTATAAAGTTAATACTTTTGATGCTTTTGATAGAGTAATGTTTATTTAATTATTATTTATAACAATTCAAAAATCATTTTTATCTTAGTTATGTCATTTTTAAGGGCATGTAAAATTAACGCCTCAACTTTAATTCTCGAAAGTTCTATTTATAGAGTTCTAGCTTCTTTTTGAAAAATATAGCGGCAAGTATAATGATTTTTTAAAGAGTTTCAGCGATTAACAATCAATACCACTTTTGAAATAAGGGAGCTGCATATGCAATGAAATTTTTGTTTCTTAAAAAATATTTAAAATATGATAATATTAAAAAATTGGCAGGAATCGCGATTACCTTCGTTTATCAGATATTCACAATTATATAATATATCGGCACACAAGATCAAGTGTCGGCAATCCGTAAGCTCGCAAACTGCGTCCATCGCAAGAAACTTCCCAATGCGACGCGATCTCTGCACCCCGCAGGGAGAGCAACGCAAAAACGTACTATCGGCAGCTGCAAGCCATTCCGGTTCATTGAAATTCGCGAATGCAACGTTACGGTCGTAACGAGACGAGTAGACAACGTCTGTCCTTTCACCCTAAGGAAACGCCCGTTCGTAAAAAAGCGATCGTGTTTCTTATGGAGATTCATTCACGGAACTCACGATTTGGCGCAATTTCCGACAAAATAGAAAGTTTTCTTGTCCCTTTTTTTAGCTCTTGTTGCGAAAACAATGAGAAACAAGTATTATGGTTGCTCGCTAATAAGGTATACTTCATAAACTGGCGTCGCGTCGCGAATATAATTACGTTTTGCGGCAATAACGGCGACGATATATAGCGCGATGGTCGCTTTATTAAAAGCTGGTTTTGTGGTTTCAGATGAGTTCAGGAGTAAGGTGGCTTGCGAGAACGAAGTCGTCAATCTCGTTTGCCATCCTGGCCAGAGGGTGGCGATTTTCAGTGCTGCCTTCGGTAGAACGCAATACGAGTCCCTGCAGTGTCCGCAGCCGCTGGGCGTGCAAGAAGAAAGTAAGTACCGTCATTAATTAACAACATCTTGCCTCCCTCCATTAATTATAATTCACAATTTATTATAACTAGTTTTTAAAATTTTTTCTTTTTTCATCGAAATTATATGACATTTGTGATACGTCTATTTAACATCGTATTACTTGTTATTAAAGTAATAAGTAATCGAACATAAAATTGTGAACTTAACGCGTATACTCTTCACGTCTCGGTATCATCTTGGTTTTATGTTGCCGTCGTTATATGTACCTACGTCATTCGCTTCGTAAGAAATGTTAGTGACCACATTTTCCGAGATTACAGCTGATATTAAGTATTTATTTACGCAGATATAAATTCCGCGTGTTATTAAAGTAATGGTATCCGTTATATATTGTGCACAAATACCAAAGTGAAATTCTGCACGATCAAACACACGGAAAGAACGATTTTGCTACACTGAGTGAAATTTCTGATTAAAAATGGATAAATCAGAAGATTTTGATTGTATTGATCAGAATTTTGGTTATCTCAATTAGAATTATAAATTGATTTAACTCAAAAAATTCTAACTCTTTCTTCAGTGTGAAATAAAAAATGTAGATATTTTGTCAGAATATGTAAACAATTATGTAGAAAATTCAAGCATGTTAAGCAGTGCTGCAATCAAAGTGCTGTCGTTCTTGTCTTTCGAATAACTTTACACGAGATCAAGATTGTCACAATTCTTCTTATAATGATCATTTTTGTCAACGTTTTTATTTACATTAAACAGAAAGATCGAGTAAAGAATTTATTTATATTAATATGTAATTGTAAAACTGTATGGAAAGAACAATTTTGCTAAAGTATCTAAAAATTCAGCTGAATATACTGATCTGAGAATTTTGTTGAACCATCAAAATAAATTTGTAGAAATTTAGAAGGCATGATGTATGTCACAAAAAGTTTTGACATTCTAGTAACCAGTCTGAGTGTCCTACATATTTATTTTGATAGTTCAACAAAATTTATTTTCTGATCTGTATCTATAAGCAAAATTTTTAGATACTTCAGCAAAACCATTTCTATTGTGTAGAATTTTTCGGACGCTTTAGTTTCTAGTGATATAACGAAGATCGATCAATAATCTCTGTCGTTCATTTCTTCTGTTTGTCGATGAGTTTTTCTGCAGAAAAGCCTTCGAGTCGATGTTTGTCCTAGTTTATTGTCATACTTGCGGCGACGAGATTGCGACTCTTTCTTCCGTAGCTGCCGAAGTTTCGGATGAGGTTCGGGTGATGTGGGAAGAGAAAATTAAAGTGAGTTTTCCCGCAGGGTATTTTTTAGAAAAAGAAGTCGAGTGTTTTCCAAATGGAGCGGGATAATTCAATGACCGACAGATGCATTTGGGAGCTAAATGTGACGTTTGATATCGGGAAAGCTTGTTATTCGCGTTCGCGCGTCGAGAGAGGCGCACGCCGCTTACTTTTAATTCAGGTAGAATGAAGGAGCTGCCTGCCTCTCGTTCCCAAGACGTGGTTTTATTTAACTTTTCAAAGTAAATTCTTTTAACTCGCGAATGAATGCTCCGGTCGACCGCTCGCGTTCCCATGACGACTTTTTGTCCTGTCCAATCAATCGATTCCTACGAAAGCGCACGAAGAGAACACCGAACGAGAGAACATAAACGAGAACGGTTCACAGCGAAGACCATACTACTGATACTTTAACGATACCATTTAATTCTGAAACATTGAAACGTTGTTGTTCACGGATGTTCTTATTCATTTAACCGGTCTTTGCTATTCCTTTATTTTCAATTTTATGGCTCTTTTAATTTCATTACTTTAATTATTGAAATAATAACACTAATTTAAAAAGATGTGTTTTTCTAACTTAATTACTTTAAATCAGACATGTTTTTTTTATGTCTTTTAGGATGTTGAAAACGATGTCATAATTGTTAAAAAAAATTTTTCAACATTAAACCTTGATTATTTAGTCCAGTTTAAAGTAATTTTTTGTTGTAAACTAATTGTAAATCGCGTATATAAATAGAATGATTCTTATGACCCCATTAGTTATAGCTAACTAATTTTAGAAACAAAACTAGTAAAAGAAAAATCAGTTACTCTTAACTTTATGAGAAAAGACTTTATTTATTTGCTCTTTTTACTCTTCTTAAGGGAAAATATCATTTCCGTTCCTTTTGTAGGCAAAGGAAATTCTGGTTTTACAGTTGTATGAATAGCTCGGCTCTGTCCACGATGATCCAATAAATCTCTCTATCCCGCACAATTCCTTGGTCCACTTGTCCGGTCATCATCCACCAACTCGTAGAGCTACCCTTTAACGCGAAGGGTTGAAAGGTTGCTTGCCGCTTGAGTGCAACAATAAGGAACAAAATCTATGAAATGGTGCCGCGTTATAATAGTGCTTTTTCGTGCTCCTTTGCTATGAATGGCTTGTGGTCGCCTTGATATCCCTTCACGACGCGCCGCGTCGTCACGTCTTAGGTCGACGTGAGCGATACGTACATTTTCTTGCACAAAAGAGTATCGGAAACTCCGAAGACTTCCTGCTCTTCCTTGGATTTCGTCTTTTCTGTCATTCTGCGTGAAGTCGGATCGATAAATTCTTATTCTTTCTTCGACGCGGTTGTGCATTGTCGACCAGCTTTTCTAAATCTTATTCAATAACGGAAACAACGCCTTGCAGTGTTTTCCTTAAATCATAAACGATGTAAGCAAAATTTCACAGATATTTTATAAAATATATTTTATAAATATATAGTATTGTATAAAAATGTTTGAACGCGAATTTGAAATAGCAGATTCTCTCTCTACTTATTATATCTCACATTAAAGAGTCAATTAGACGTGTAAGTTGTGTAATGTTTGCATTATATAATCTTTATGTGACTTTTAATCAAGCAAGAGTGTGTGGATTTACTTATACATGTGAAAATTCTATCTTTAACTTTTTTAAATTTGTGTACGTAGAGAACGAACCAGTCAGCTCTTTCATTTTATATTTATAAAGTCATATTGTTGCGAAATATATAAACTTCTTTGTTTCTTTCTCAATTTCACATAAAATCTTTTATGAAGAAAAAGAAATATCACGAATACGAAATTTTTTCAATTTTATTTCCTTGTATAATGCATCTTTTGTTACTATTATTGTTATATTGTTATTGTTACAGCTTGCATGATGGACTTTACAACAGAAACTGTAATGCAATTATGCCATGGTAAACGACGATGCACAGTAGTGGCTAATAGCACAACGTTTGGCAGACCTGATCCTTGCAGTCCAGACAGCAAAACGTATCTTAAAGTTGTGTACACCTGCGGTGAGTAAAAATTTTTTTTTTAATTTTACTATTATGAAACGACAAGATGTGCAATAGCTATAATAATTCATTTTTAAAGCTAACTTTGTTTAAACATAATTAACTTTCCATTTATTACGTGGAATTTTGCATCTTCTATCTGCAATCTGAGTCTTTAAACTTTTAGTGCAGATTTTTATATTGTTCCAAAGTGTATTAAAATTTGAAAAAACTTATTTTATACTTGTGCTGAAAGCTTTAACAAATTTTTATTATCAATATTATTATAATGTCATAATATATTACAAATTTTTGTAAAAAATATAACAGCTTAAATTATAAGTATGGATATTCAATTTCATTTAATGATAAAATATTAAGAGATATATATTGCATATTTTGACGTTCTCAGCTTGCAAATAGAACAAGTTGATGATTGAGTTGCAGTAACACTATAAAAAAAAAAAAGAGCGGTAAGGAATATAATATCTAGTCGTGCAGAGAGAAAAGTAATTACTTATTTAAACGATAAAATTGTACGAGCGTTTACTCGGGAAAGTGTAGCTAGCGGCGATTCACTGTCGCAATCCTTGAAAAGAATAGTGAGAAAAACTGATATTACGGGCCGTGCAATAACGTGTTCGGTAGGGAATCTATCCGGAGCTTGCTACACAATGGCGTATAATGAGCGCAGAACGTTCTTCTCTGAGGAGAAGTTATTTTATTTCGCGAGGTTCGAAGTGACTCGGGGCAGCAACGAGTCAGCGACAGCTTTAAACAAAATGACGTCGTCGCAGGGTCTTTCCTTCTGTCCTGGACGGGATTCGTACTGAATTTCGTTCTCGACATTTTTAATGGGCACTCTCCTCGGGAACGGTGCGTCACGAAGAATAGCGAAAGAAACTGTTGTGAAAACTGTCGACGACAACTAACGAGCGCCATCACCGTATTTCGAGCATGATGTCGCAGGACGTTATCCTTCTGAGAACGAAAACTAGAGTTTCCGGTCATCGCCGTGATACAAGAAGTATAATTTTATCCTCTGTGTTTACGACGAAATTAATAATAATTTTACGTGAGTATTACATTGGTTCGCCACATTGTTGTAAAACTAATCAAAAATTCCTTGCAATTTAAAAAATGAAAAAAAAACGTTGTGTAGAACGAGAGTTGTGTAGAATGCAAATGCGTCTGGCCGCAATATTTGCATCGTCGTTGAATTTTTGAGCGTGAATACACACGCTTGTGTACAAACTCTTCGCGAAAATCTTCGAATCTTTTTAGCGGTGCCGCGATGCCGCAATAACATTCTTTGCGAAAAAGTTGCACGCGAATTGGGAGATGTTAACAGGGGAAGTTTTATACTACTTGCTAGACGCTGATGCCGCCCTCGCGAGAGCAACGAAAAAGTAACGCACCGTCGGTCATCGCGGTGTTACTCCATGTTCCGATCTTTTTTACTCTTGCGAGCGAAATTACACATACCCCTTACATGTACATTTTGTTAGCAAATAGCGCTGCACGCTCTTATAACCGTGTATTACTTTGTTGCGGAATACCTCGTTTACATTAATCGTAACCATCTTTTACAATCTCCTTAACAAAGGAAGGAAAGTGTGGAAAAGAAGGTACCGTGTTATAAAAATACGCTGTAATTTTTCTTGAAACGTGTATAATTTATTCCTACTGTGGAAACTGGCTTGTGAATTCTTCGCTATAAAACTTACTTTAAGAATTGAAAAAAGGGAATTGAACGAGAAGAAGGAGAAGAGGAGATTGAGAAGTGGTTCACAGATATCAAGATAGCATTACGCATAATGAATAGCATTATTTTCTAACTTAATATTCTTCTTTAAAGTATCTATACTTAAAATATTCCCTTTTGATCTCATTTCGACATTACTTCATGTGATAATCATTATATAATAAATTTCTGATACAGCACAATTGTGAAATACATCTCTTTCATATTTTATCAATACGATAAGGATTAAATTTTTTCGATTAAAAAGATTCGAGCTGAAATTCAGTCACGATTAAATGGTAAGTGCCTCTTGGCAGTGGAAAGATAAGGGAGTCTTGCTGGCCCTTTCGTGGCTCGTCGCACGTCAAATTACCGGCCGTAAACGGCCGTGCGGGGATTATAATTCGCGCGACGTAGCCGAGAATGCATTTGCATGTGCCCGATGCGAGCTCATTAGTCAATGTCACTTTGGTTCCTGTAACCGACCGGCAACGTTTGTGAAAGAAAGAAAAAAAGAATCGTCGCTCGGTATTCTAATTTGGCGGTGAGTCATGCATAGTTCTTCATGGCACGCGGCTGTCCTGGTAGCTGCGAACAAAATATGCGCATTCGTTGGTACGTGAAAAAATTCGCGAAATAATAAACGTTCGTCGATCCGAGTCGGTTGCATCTCTTCGTGATTGAACGTTTTGAAATATCGTAAAACCACATTCTACAACAATTTTTACTGTATTTTATAACAATATTGTTATAAAAATGCATGACTGTATAAGCGTAATCTTTAGACAGAAAGTTAATAAATATAAATATTTTATGTTTGATTTTTATCAAGCTTTTTTCCTTTAAAAGAACGATGCATTACTTTTTCTTCAAATTGGGAAAGTTTTTGCGTATAACATAAAAAATTATACGCAATTTTCAGTTAAGTTCCTTGTAAATTTTTATTGAATATTATAAAGTAAAAGTTTTTGTTCGTTAAACCACGTTTAAAGTAATTCGAGGTATTTCAAGGAATCCAAGGTAATATCAAATCTTCCTTCTTATCCATGCATATATGCGCACACGCTGCCAAGAGAACATGCTCGAGGAATAATAAACTGGTATGATAAGAAAGCGAGAGAGACTTGTTGTGAATCAAATTTTTTTTGCGTTGTAGATTGCTAGTTTAAAATAGCAAGTAACATAAAAGTCATGTCAAAATTATTTTATTCATTACAATGCTCTTTATGAAGTTAATACTAAACACATGTATAAAAGCAAAATTATGATACATATATTCGTCATATTTTATAATTCTTATCCATTATATTTGAATTTTGTATACATTTTAGACTTTAATCAGATGTAAATTTAAATTATACAGAGTATATCGAAAATTGTATATCAAAAATATTAATATTTGAATACGAACAAAATCAAAATTATAACATTTTTTATTTACAAGTTATATAATAGCTTATTTGTAATTTTTTATTTACATTTTTGAAGAGTAAAGAAACAGTAAATTATTTAAATATAAATATTTCGTAAGATTTGTAGTTGAAAGTTGACAAAACGGAGGATCGATCGTTACAGATATCTTTTCGATAAAATTAATATATAGCAACCGGCAACATCGGAAACATTCTTTCCGCTGAACTTGCATTTGATCGGATGACGATATTCCGAATGAAATCAATCGTACTTCCCAACTATTCATACTATTTCTGTATAGCGTGCTTCCCATACTATTCATACTATTTCTATTAAGCATGCTCGCTGTCTTCTTTGTTAAGTTCTACCGGGATATTTACTTGGAACAATTACTGAGCGATTTCAAAGTGTAATTGGATCCGCATGAATTATCAGTGTACATCAAAGTCCCACCTCCTTCTCTTTGATCCAACACGAGCGTATAGATCGTCAATCACGTTTGTAGAGTTGGAGTAAAGCCCTTGCAAATCCGTGTTTCATGAGATATCATCGAGTCCTAATCAATTATTAACATAGGAAATGTCCTAATTAGTTTGGATATGTGTTTAGAATATAAAAAACCATGAATTTCTGTGATAGGAGGCGAATGAGACTGCAGCATTGTTGTTGATCGTAATCAATAATAAGTGGATTTATTTTAATCCTTTGTTCCACATAAATACAATAAAACGTTTTGACTCTCTTTGGAGTCATCCTCAGTTAATGCAATTATTCTCCTTTGTGATTCTTTTGTAATAAGTCACATCAAATTTACAGATTTAATGTTGAGATATCTGTTAAGTTTTAAAAAAAATTTTCATGAAAATTATATTCTTTAAATCGTTGAGGAATATAAAGTGGCTCACCTTACAAAACACAAGGAAGATGTTTTAAAAAACCAATGAATGCGTATCAACAACAACGCTGCACTTTCATTCGCCCCCTATTTATGGTTTTTTGAATCAAGAGAGTCCATAAGATTACGTCTGAAATTGTTTAAGATCCCAAGTGGGAATTGAATACCGCCGAGATACTGGCCCAGTACCAACTTTTAGTATTCAGTACCGGCGTGATATCGGATGCCAGTATTGGTATTGTACTGATGTAATATACTGGGATGATAGCAACGGGCCAAGACTCGAAATACAGTACTCTTATGGTACGGGATTACGGTGTCGTAATGTTTCTAAACGTCGGTACCATTATAGTACGGTATTACAATACGGGATTACAGTACCACAATAATACCGAAAATCAGTACACATATTGTACCTAATGCAGTAACAATATTATACAAAAAATGGTTACCGAATCATAATGCTGCAGCAGTACTAACAATGAGAAGTCACCATTCCTAAATGTGAATTTTGATAAAATCATTATTGCATTCGTTTGTCCACTGTTTGTCCACGTTTGTCCACCCGTTATTTTCATTTGTCAACCCTCCAAAAAAAAATTATACAAAAAAAAATTGTAGTATCCCCAAGTGATTATTTTTCATTATTATGAAAAATATAATAATAATAGGGTGGACGAACGAAAATAAGGGGTGGACAAACGTGGACAAACAGTGGACAAACGAATGCAATAATGATTTTACCAATATTCGCATTTAGGGGTGCCGACTTCTCAGAGCTGCTCTCAGAAGTCGGCATCCCTAAATGTGAATTTTGATAAAATCATTATTGCATTCGTTTGTCCACTGTTTGTCCACGTTTGTCCACCAGTTATTTTCATTTGTCCACCCTTCAAAAAAAAGTTATACAAAAGAAAGTTGTAGTACCCTCAAGTGATTATTTTTCATTATTATGAAAAATATAATTAT